AAAATCTGGGCAGATTTTTCGATAGCCGACTTCGTGGGTATATTTCGGCCGAATCCCTTGGAGTTATGGGGAGATTTTTGGTGATAATTGAAGAGGACATTGTGGGCTTTCCAACGGTATCCAAATCAGACGGTCTTGGTGGTCGTAAGTTGTCGAAAAATCACCACAAAACTTGCCCAAAAAATTTGAAAATTCAGTGACCATTTGTGAAAGAAATTTAAACTTCAGTGACCGTTTCTGCAAGTTTTAAACTTCAGTGACCGTTTTGTGATTTTCAGGTAACTTCAGTGATCGTTTGTGAAATTAACCCTTTATTTTACATATCCAAACCCTAAATTAATCCATTTCTCTCCACCTTCTCACCTCTCTCCACAAAGCCGCCGCCTCCATTTCTCTCCACTCTCTCACCTCCCACCCCAACCGCCTGTCGCCTCCTCCCACCACCACTGCTGCCGCCTCCTCCTCCACTCTGGAACTGTTGGATTGCCTTGAAGACAGCATATTCAACCTCAACCTCATTTGATACTGGATAGAATCTTTACCAAGGAAGTCAAACTGCAAAAACAGACAGATACGCCGTCAGGGTGAAAATATCTTGCATAGTTATTATTTTCTTAATTCTTAGAATTGTCAACAGTGTAAACTTATTGAGAAGTTGTGTGTGTGTGTTGTGGCGGGGTCGACGGTGGTGGTGGTGGTGGATTTTTTGGTGTTGTGGTGCAGGTGGCGATGGTGATGGTTGTTTTTTGTTATTATCGTGGCTGTGATTGTGTTGGTGTTGTGACTAGGGTGACGATGTTGGTGATGCTGTGCAAGAGACGACGGTGGTTTGGGTGGTGGTTGTTGTTGGTGTTATTGTTGGTGGGTGGTTGTGGCGGTAGAGGTGGCAGCAGTGGAGGTGGCGGCGAAGAGTGTCCGTGACCAACTATTTGGTCGATCTGTGACCGAGTATTGGTTGCGGATGGGATCGGGGACGGGTGTTTGTGACCAATTATATTAGCTATTAAATTGTGACCTTCAAATTCGATAATCTGTAACTAAAAATATAATGTGACCAACAAATTTGGAAATATGTGACCTTTGTAATCTATAATTTTTTTAACTTATGACCAATTAAACATTTGTGACCTATAATTTTTTTGATCGGTGACCAATGACGTCAACCGTGACCCGAATATTTTTTTATTTGTGAGCTCGAAATAATCTTGACCAATAATTTGATAAGTTGTGATCGAAAATTAATTTTTATCTAATTTATTAGATATCTGTTAAGGGTG